CGCACCACGTGCAGCAGCGGCGGCGGACCGGGGGCCGGCGCGGGGCAGCCGGGCGCGAGGCCCTCGGAGGGGCTGCTGGACCCCGTCTACCCCCGCACATACTCGGCCCTGCTGAAAGTGGCGCAGATGGTAAGAGAGGCCCGGGGCGCGGGGCCGGGGTCTCGCGGAGAGGCCCGGCGGGAAGGGGAGCCGGGAGGTGGCGCGCCGGGCGGCTGGAGCCGGGCGGAGCCCGCCGGAGCATCGCGCCGCGGGCGGGGCGGGGCAGGGCGGGAGGACTGCGCCACCACAGACAAGTTCGGGGAGGGCTTTCCTTCGGAAAGTTGGGTGCGCCGGTGCCCGCGCCCTGGAACTCAGCCCCGACGCCGCCCTTGCTCCCGCGGACGCAGGTCTCCAGGGTCCCAAGTTTTTTCCAGCCACCCCTCTGCGGGGCCCGACCCGCTTTTCGACAGAAACCACAGGCAAAAGTTGCGTTTCTTCTTCCTTCCTCTTCTCTGGGCCGCGCCGCTTCGAACCCGAGCCGGGGGTGGAAGAGTCGCCCCGGCGGCGCGCTGAGGCGGCGGAACCCGTCCTTCTCCCCCCGAGGCCTCCTCTCTCCTCCCAACCCAGAGAGCAGGGCTGCCCTGCTCTGGGCGCAGTTTCGCAGAGAGGAAGTCCGAAGTTCTCAGTTCCCTGTTGGGGAAAAGGGATGGGGACCCTGGGGGGCAGCTGTCCTGGACACCTGCCCTCTCAAGTTCAAGGGAGGGTCCAGGTCTCAGGCGGCCGCTGGAACGCCGAGGATCGATGCGGAAGGTCCGTTTTGAGGAGACTGTGCCCTAGTCCCCCTGCTAACGGTTTGGAGTATCCAACCCTGTATTTACTGTTTTTGCCTATGTGTACCTACCTATGATAAAGTTTAATTTATCGATTAGGCGTAAGAGGAGATTAACAACGACTAATAATAAAATAGAACAATTATAACTATATACTGTAATAAAAAATATGTAAATGTGGTCTCTTTCTCAAAATGCCTTATTGTACTGAACTCACCCTTCTTGTGATGATGTGAGGTGATAAAATGCCTGACCGATGAGATAAAGGGAGGTGAATGATGTGGGCATTGTGACCTAGCTTTAGGCTGCTATTGATCTTATGACTACTCAGCAGAACACAGGGTCATCCGCTTCTGCCCTGTGGTTGACTGTGGGTAACTTAGCACAACTGTGGACGGGCGGGGGGTGGGGGATACTACAGTACTCATTTGGGGGAGCCAGAGTCAGCTGAGGGGGGGGTCACCTGAGGAGCCAGGCAGGCTGAAAGTCTGAGCCGTGAGTATGACCAGTGTGGTGCAGGAGCCTTCCACCAAGGCTGATGTTGTCTGGCCCCTTCTCACGGTCCCCACTCTTTCCTTTCTTCCCAGTTTTTTCTTCTTTAAACAAATTTTCATCTTAAACACCTTTCCCATTCGTTTGATGTGTTTTGTGACACTAGGTTGGGCTGTTTGTGACTCCACTCATTGTAATGTTTGCAGCAAAAATAGTGGCGGCGGGGGAGTGGTGGTTTTGAAGAGGGGTGTGGAGGAAGGAATGTGGCATAGGAACAAGGTTACACATCCGGACGCTAAGGTGGGCCAGTCCCAGGGTGCTGGACACAGTGAGAGCTGCCGGTGAATCCATAGCACTGTTGTTCTGGTGTGTGTAGAGGGGGCCGTCATTTCCTGCTTAGGCCAGATCTGAAGGGAGGGGGGCTGAGTTCTCTTTTCTCTAAGAAGGGTGTCTGGATGGACCAAAAATTAGGAAGTGTTAGCGACTACCAACAACAACAAATTGTGCTGAGGAGTGTTGGTTTTGAGTAAGGCATTTTTTGGCTCGCGGTAAAACTGCTAATCAGCCAAATAGAGGGGACCAGGCCACCTCTTTGTCCTTAAAAGGTGGGCGGGAGTGAGACAGACCCTAATGGAGCACTGGAAGACATATGTTGAATCAAATAATGAGTTTGGTGATCAAAAATTGGGATCAGAAGCCTTCATCTGGTCCATGAGTTTGATGGACAAAGGTAATGGGGTCAAGAAGGCTCCATGTTGGTCCATGAGTTCGGTGGATAAGGTTCGTAGAGAAGAGCAAGCTCCACTTCACTGAAAGCTCCTCAGCTAGCCTCTTGCCTGTGGCCCTTAAGCCTGGTTGCAGGTGACAGTCACAGGGCTTGTTGTTCCATAGCAGGGAACAAAGACCTAGAGAACGGCTTCTCTGTTGTGCCTCTCTTAAAGCCATCCTCACGGGATTCTCACGCCTTCTTCCTTCCTTGGGGAGACCCCTGTGATCGCAGGCTCTTTGGAGCAGACCCCTTGGAAGTGAACTTGCCCTTGCAGTGTGGTCATATTGAGAGACTCTTTAGGGTTGTCCACCTGGGCCTCTTATCTAACTCTTTCCCATTCTCCTCCTCCTCTTTTCTGGGGCCTGCATGGACATTTGATATTCTTTCATCTCCTTTCCCAGAAACATGTGCATAGCCAGGAGTTAACAACATTGGGGCAGGGCAGATGCCGCTATCCACGGGGCTCCGATTTTGACCACTGGTATCTCATCTGCATCCTGAATAGGCTGACCTGTATGTCCTAGACTTCCCATAAAGTGTTGTCCTCGGTCTAATCGACAGACCTGTCAACCTATTACCTTAAGAAATAATTGAAAAGGCTGTTCCCTTTGAGAACAACTTCCTTTCTTTGCTTTGAGTCTCTCCTGGGTCCACCACCACCAGAAAATGAGGAGAGATAATGGAAGGAAAGTGAGTTTCTCAGTGAATGTTGGTACTTGTGTCTTTAATGAATCTTTATAATCTTGTGGCCCCAATAGTTTAGTTTCTTGGGTCTTCCTCTTTAGACTAGAGACTGTCACAGTTGTTGGCCCTATAGGAGGGGGTTTCTTTGTTGTTGTTAATAGGTCTATTTTTTGAACCTTACCATTGTTCTCTGTAAGGCACTAGGGACAGACGCCTGGCTGGCTCAGTTGGTTAAGCGTCTGCCTTTGGCTCAGGTCATGATCCCAGAGTCCCGGGATCGAGCCCTGCAGCGGGCCCCTTGCTTGGCAGGGAGCCTGCTTCTCCCTCTGTCCGCTGTTCCCTCTGCTTGTGCACTCCCCCGCCCCCCCCCGACAAATAAATAAATAAAATCTTTAAAAAAAATAAATGATGGACTAGGAATTCCATGCTATACATCACGTAAGTGTCATTAACTGTTTTTAAGGATCATGTGAAGGAACATGTTTTGACAAGAAGAAACTGACTGAGAGGTTGAACTAGTAATGTCCCACAGCTGTGAGCAGCAGAGCTGGGGCCGACCCAGGCCTGACGGGCCTCGTGTGCCCGAAGACCCTGCAGAGTTGTTGCTTGTTAATAGATCTAGGGAAATCAGTGCCCACCGAGGTACCTCTTCACACCCAGTCGGATGGCAACAGTAGGAAAGACGTGATATCAGGACAGAACAATGTGAAGGACGTGAAGAAATCAGAGCCCTCATACGTTGCCAGTTGGCCAGTGGGGGTGTAAAAGGCAAATAGTCCGGCAGTTCCTCAAACAAACATGGAGTTGCTGTATGATCCAACAATTCTGCTCCTAGGTAGATACTGAAGAGACGTGCAAACACTTCTCTTAAGTATATTGTGTGAAAACACACAAACACACAAAAACTTGTACACAGAAGTTCATAGCAGCATTATTCATGAGAGCCAAAACGTGGAAACAACCCGAATGTCCTGATGAGGACGGGACTGATGAATGGATAAATAAAATGTGGTGTATTCATGGGATGGAATATTAGCAGAAAAAAGTATAAAGTACTGACACAGCCTGCAACATGGATGATCCTCGAACACATGCTGAGTGGAAGAAGCCAGAAACGAAAGACTACATATTCTTTTTTTTTTTTTTTTTAAGATTTTTGTTTATTTATTTGATAGAGAGAGAGCACAAGCAGGGGGAGCAGCAGGCAGAGGGAGAGGGAGAAGCAGACTCCCCACTGAGCAGGGAGCCCGATGCGGGGCTCGATCCCAGGACCCTGGGATCATGACTTAAGCCGAAGGCAGACGCTTAACGACTGAGCCACCCAGGCGCCCCAAGAGACTACATGTTCTATGATTCCACTTAACATGGGATGTCCAGAACAGGCAAATTTCTAGAGACAGAAAGTCGATTAGTGGTTGCTCAGGGCTGGGGAGTTTGGGAGCAATGGGGAGTGGCTGGTAAGATGTAGGTGGTTTCTTTTTGGATGATAAAAATGTTCTAAAATGGATTGTGGTGTTGGCTGCCCAACCCTGTGAATATACTAAAAACCGCTGGATTGTACACTTTAAATGTGTGAATTGTATCTCAGTAAAGCTGCTAAAAGGAAATCTAGGGAAGAGTTCAGAGGGGGGTACCCTGCATGACACCACTGGGTGTGGGAGGGCCACAACATAGGAAACTCCCTGGCCATCCCCCCATATCCACTACTAGAGGAAGGGATGTCCCCCTGCAGACCTCACAGAATCTGAGCCCGAGGGGAGTGCCCTGAGGTCTGAAGGGGTCCAGATGGCCCTGTATGTGACCTCACCAGCATTCCTCATCAGTTCAGCAGACATTTATGAGTGCCACGTCCATCTTCATTTCTGCGGGAGCAGGGGGCTGTGACAGAGCCCTTGCCCTCAGGAAGTCTGTGGTTTTCACTGAGGAGACAGACAAGTCCCAAAATTGGTCGGGGAGATAAAAAAAAGTCTGGTCGCCTGCACTAGGAAGGAAGGAGAGAGGCTTGAAGGTGAAGGTCACATCTGAGTTGAACCTTGAGAGCTGAGTACAGGTTGGTGAGGTTGGGAGTGCACCCTTCGCTCTCGAAGGCCTTTGTTCAGTATGTTTAAGTTGGCGGTAAGGGATAGGTTGGGGGCATTGGGGGGGAAGAGAATACAGCAGGGCGTGAGGCAGTACTTGGGGCCGTACTGACATCTAGAAAGAGGCGTCATCTCATTTCCTGGGTATCTGCTATGTTCTTATGTGAGGCGTGTGGAATAGAGGTTAACAAGACAGACCCTTTCTGCGTGTGCAGAGAAACGGGGGCTGTGACATTTGCAGAACCATATGGAAGGAAAATCAGAGTGTAGTTTCCACAAGCCACAAAGATGGAAACT